GAATACTACAATATAACAACGTGTGAGCTGACTTGCATCTCCACAAACCTGACTCTTATTTGAAGAGGAGAAACATCTCCTCCTCCAGATCAAATAAGATGCAATGGAAATGTTTTCCTTTGGCTATAATTGGTGTATAGTGTAAAATGTATCTCCATGGAGAATGTTCCAAAGTATGGTTTTAATCGGTATGATTTCCATAATTGGAATTATGTGAATTGAAAAAAACAAAAAAAAAACACCTTTTTGGGTTGGGCTAAAATGTTGAAATGAGATGATATCTTAAAAATGGTCAGATGATTCCAGTAAAGGTATTTGGCCTACTGGAGGTGCGTAAGCATTTTGGGCATCAATATGATTAAAACATAAAAATATAGGTCTAATAGTAATAATTGAGAAGGAAACACTATAGTAAATAGATTGATTTGTCTAGTACCCATGTTATTGGGTACTCTGAGCATTATACAAAGCTTAGGGGCCTAGGCCCAGAATACCAGGGCCCAGTCTTAAAATGCAGGATTACACAGACATCAGTCCGTTTAGCCTAAAATTAACTTTGGGAGAAGAATGCTTCATGCCAAGTTATTTTCAAAGAATACTTTTATATTACCTCATATACTGAGATTTATGACCCCACCACCCATCCACATACTCCGGGATGCTGATTAGATTCATGTCCTCAAACCCACACTGGGCAAAACCTGGACATAGTGGAGCCAGTGTGTGCCACTTTATTGTAGTGACATTGTGTTTGGAGGCTTAACCCTGTGCCCCTGTCCACACACACACACACACACACGCACGCGCACACACACACACACACACACACACACACACACCACCTGCTTATCCAGGCCTGTCTGCTGCTGGGACATCCCGAGAGGCAGGCTAAGAGGAGTGAGGTCTGCTACACACGGCTACTGCCATCTGCCCACTGATTCATATTTGGGTTTAAGAGAATGTAACACAAAAATGAAAGAAACCAAAATGTAGCGACAGTAGGGCAGCACAATATATATTTGAATCAAAAATCACAAAGACTGCAACTACATGATAGGGTTGTCAAAAGTATAAAAAATCTGATACTAACAATCGATACTTAAACTAGATGCTAATTTAAGCAGGCATCAACACTTAAAAGTCACATTCAAAGAACAGAAACAAACCTTTACTGAACAGCTTAAGACTGATCTTGAGCTATATCAGAACAAGTATAATGGACCACTATGGAACCTATACCTGGACAACTGAGAGATTACACAGATATAAGGCCACATGGCAAAATAAAACAAAGTACTATTACTTACTGTTGAAAATCACATTCTATTGTGCAAATAAAGAGTGTTTTATATCATGATTTGGAAATTGGAATCAGTATATCAGAGTATATTCCTTAGTATTGAAATTGAGTCTTAAATGTTAGAGTCTATTAGATAGGTAACTAGAATTTTCTCTGTAAACATTTAAATACAAAAAAGTTAACCCTGAAGTTTGGAACTATACAAACATATTCTCTTTGGGTGTGCCCCAAGGCTCGATTCTTAGGCCCAAATTATTTATATTGTATATGAATGATTTTGTTAAAGTTTCTGAGCTTGGGAAAATTCTATTTGCTGATGACACAACATTATTTTACTCTGGAAAAGACATAAAAGAGGTCACAAGTAAAGTTAACAAAGAGCTAAGAAAAGTTAAATATTGGTTTGATTTAAATGGATTGATAATGAATGTTAAAAAAACAAATTTCATTTTATTTAATGATAAAAAGAAAAAAGACAACATAACTTTAGAAATAGATGGGATACAAATTCAAAGAGTAAATGAAACTAAATTTTTAGGAGTTATGATTGATGAAGGTCTAAACTGGAGATCTCATATAAATTACACAAAAGGCAACATTTCCAAAGCCATTGCTGTTCTGCATAAAATAAAGTTCTCACTAAATAGTACAGCATTATTAACTTTGTATAACTCTATAATTGTACCATATCTGATGTACTGTGTGGAAATTTGGGGTTCAACATGTAAAACTTACCTACAACCTTTATTTATTTTACAAAAAAGGGCCTTGAGATCATCACCAACAGTCATTGTAGAGAGCCATCCAACCCAATATTTGTTCAACTTAAAGTGTTGAAAATGCAGGATATTGTTGACTTAAGTATCCTCAAAGTCATGTATAAAGCAAAGTGTAATTTATTACCTGTAAATATTCAAAAACTGTTTGAGATGAGAACAAGCCACTACAATTTAAAAGGAACCTACATGTTTAAAAAACCCAGATTCAGAACCAAGGTTATGGAGCGAAGTGTCGCTGTGAAAGGAGTTCACTTATGGAATAGTCTTGACAAAGAAATAAAAGAATCAAGTACAATGATGACATTTAAAAAACATATAAAATCGAATGCACTGTGTCTGTATGAAAAAGAAAACTAAGTTGTGTATAATAATGAAGATTTACTGTTTGCAATTGATCAGTAATTGTGCCTGAACTGATATGGAATGTTTAGTGACGATCAGTGTTGATGTTTTGTCTTGAAAAAGGAAAGGGGGGCAGATAACATAAGATTTTTTCTTCTTTCTGCTCCTTTTCATTCATTTCTTGTGTGTTTGATGTTGTGACACTGTAGATGTCTTTTTATGCTTTATGAAATAAATAAATAAATAAATAAATATTCTGAAATGCTTGTGGTTCTTGTTTTTGCCATTCATACTACTAATAGTGATGCTTCTAGGTATTCTTGATTTGAAAACATATATTGCAAACCTAATCAGAATCACAGTTACATAATCTCTTCAAAACAATGCAGTCCAATCTATTTAAATTATGAATATATTTTCAGAAAATAATAAAGGTGGGAGTTGAATACTAAAATTATATTACTGAACAGTGACAATTAAATGTAATTGAATATCTGTCAATTCACTGAAGATGTGCAAAGACATCCTCAGAGCTGTTGATCCTCAGCATATGGGTTTTTATAGTCATTACCTGCTCATACAAATTACAATGTTACAAAGTACAGATTGTGACCTACAGTCACTAGTCCCATGTGTTCTCATGCAGTCTTTACAGTCTTTAGCTGGCTCCACTTTATGCATACTACAGCAGCCTAGTGCACATTGATCTGTAACTCATTAGTAGAAACTGTTAACAACACAAGTACCTATTTATAAACAAAACTAATTAAAAGATGCAATATCCCACTGAGTCCATGCATGTGTTATGTTACAGTGATACTGATTTCTTAAATGTCTCAAAAACATTCTTTGTTCACCCAGATCAATGTAAAAAAATAAAAAATAAAAAGCAAAAATAGTTTTGTTACTTCATTTTCTGATCTATTTCATACTGTTGTTTCCTCATCACAAACATACCTGGAGGTGTGGTTGATTCACACATGTTTAACACACAAACCCTGCATGTTCTCTCAAACGAAAAACACTCTGTTCCACCTTGTGATGTCATGTGATAAAACAGGAAGTGCTCCACTGTGTTTTAAACTCCATCCACTTTTACTGGAATCAATTGGATGATTTCAGCCCTGGAATTGTCAACCTTTACTGAACTTAAGATAAAAGGTAGCTGAAAATTTCATGACATCACAAGGTGGAACAGAGCATTTTGAGCTTTGGGGATGCAGACCGTCTAATAAAACAGGATTCCTCAAACATGTGAATGGAACAAACATAATTCCAAGTATGTTTTTAATGAGGTAACAGCATTATAACATGATTTAAATCTCATGAGAATACATTTTGTGTAATATAGGAGTTTTAAATCACAATCACTGTAGTCCTAAGTTGATACTTGGAAAGACTGTGCTGAACAAGGACATGTGGGCTTTCCCAACCTTATAAAATGTCTGCCACATTAATTCTGTGGCTACCTTGAGATTTATTTGAGATTTTGGAAAGAGAATCAGACGAGGTCAGGAGGCAGACGGTTTAGGAAAACCACCTTTGACGCCGAGAATAAAAATGTCTATTGTCAAAGTGGGGAAATAGAAAGAGGACGTAGCCATCTTATCTCTGCAGATTTGGAACAAGGTAAACATAATGCAGTGGTAAATTAAATGTAACAAAATAGGAAAATCCCCAAAGGTTTCATTATTTGTACATATTTAATAACAAACTTTATTTATGAAGATGAAAGGATTTTATAGGGATTTCATAAGGAACTGACTTCATAGCCATATACTATTACTACATGTGTTACTATCAGGGTCATCAGAGTTAACTGAGTGCTCATTAATATTTACATTTTACAGTGAATGGTCACAAGAAAGAGGAAATTTCCAATGAGAGGTACAGAGGTGCACAATAAAGCAATACAAATCTACCTATAGGCTCAAATTCAATCAATTCAGTAACAGTATCAAATTTTTGGAAACAGAGTACTAGTATGTATTTTACTATAGTACTTATTTGTTATCACAATAACAAACCAGATGCACTGTTCTGAGTGTTTTATGTTTGGTGGAAAACATACTATATTTTTTATTACTACATTTGATTCCATTGTTCATATTTGTTTGCAGAGATAAATCAGCTAGTATTTAACTAGGCTATACATACAATTTAGAATCTGTACTCTAGAATGTCTTCCCTTTAAACAAAACTAATGCTTATTAACATTTGCAGCCTACATGTAAATGCTCACATATTATAATATGTACAATTATGCTTGGGGACTTTTGATGGATTGCAACAATGTGCATTTCTAAAACAGTAATTATCAGATCTTCATTTAGACCAGGTAATTAACCCCACTGACGAAAAAGGCGTATTTTTAATTTTTTATTTTTTAGTAATTTATTAATTACAGGATTTAGATAGAATTATCCAAAAGTTTTGATATGAAAAAACGCAATTAATCAATAAAATGTGGCATTTCTCTGACCAGAAAATGAAGACATTTTGCAGTTATTTCTTGCCATCGCTTGTCATTTTCCATATTCAAAACCGGACTGAAAAAAGAGTAAACTGATCATATTTACCTTATGGGGGTTCCGTCTGTCACCACGGCTGCGCGTAATACGTCTATCCCCAAAACGTGGGCGGTATCGGCGCGACACTGGCACGGGAGATGGTCGCTCCTGGGTCTTCTCTCGGTCCTCTCTTTGTCCGTGCGTCCGTGTACCTCTGTCTGGCTGTCGGAGGGTCCGTGCAGATGACAGGAGAATCACGTTTGCTTTGGTTTGCCTGCTCCGTTTAGTCTGGCGCGCACTGACCACGCCCCCTCCCCCAGCTGTCACTCACACACCCCTCACCCCGTGCTGTGTTCAAATACCCCATGTAAACACGTAGCAGGTGTATATGATGACGAAATAACGTTCATTTACAATATCATGCTTGTCTAAATTAACAGGTCAGTCTGGTTTATTTAGGTTATATTGTTATATAGTTAATTAGGCTACTGTGTTTTGCATCAAAAACACAAGAAATTGCAAGCCCACCCACCCAAATACAAGGGTACAATGCATTTCATAGCATAATAATAACAGCTCAACAAGAACCATAATCTAATAATAGCTTAGTAATAGCTGAAAGTATAATGTATTGCGTGCAATAATAAACTGAATATGTGATTAGTAATGTGTGTGTTATTAAGACAGTAGCCTTTTGTGTGTTTCTATTCTGTTTATAACTGCTAAACTGCTAAAATGTTGGATATGTTTTTAGAGCCAGAGTTGACATTTGACATATACAACAGCTAATAAGGCTGACATATACAACAGATTCAATTCTGACAATGGGAAGAAACATTTTTTTTCCCTTAACACACGTGAATACAGCACAAGGCTTTTTTTTTTTTTTTTTTTTTTTTTTTTTTTTTTTTTTACAACCCCTTGGTCCCTCCCCATTCCAAACAATCAAATACAATTCATTTACTGCCTTTGCCTCTTCTACTTTGTCTGCAGCTTGTTTTGACTGCTGCTTTGGGAGGCTCTCAGTGTGTGGAACAAGGATAAAATCTTATTAAGAACCAATAACATTTGTCTCCTTCCTTTGATCTCCTCTTTGCTTCTCTCTGTTCTTCCACTCATTCTTGGCCTAGTTGTTGTATCCACAGGAGACAAAACCTTGTGTGAAGACATTTTTGACTAAAAAGAAATTGCTGTCCTACTATTAAAGGATGACAAGGCTACTGATCCAAGTTTAAAGAATAAGTTTTACATTTCTGTTGGACTGTTGGTAACAAAGAAACAATCCTTGAGCATAAATGTATTAATCAGATATCTGTGGGAGGTTGTGTGATATTGCAAATGAATAAAAAGAACAAATTGTAGGCAGTGGTAGCATAGATATTAACATTTATTGCAGAGAATAAACAACAGGCTGACAAAATATAATTTATTTTAATTTTGACATTACATTTTCATGATTAGCAATGATATGACAGTCTGTCTCGCTTATTGTAAAGAGAAACATTTAAACATGATGTAAGGTATAGGTAATAGAAAACAGTCTTCAGTAGTGGGGATCATATGTCGGAGTCAGGGTGATTGTCCTTGTAAATAATAGAATAATAATAAATCAATATTAAAACAAAACACTGCAGTTTTACGGGTACTGAGTTTCATTATGTGCTATACTCACTGGGTACACTGGGTTTTGGAAGCCGCCCATGAGGTCAAAATCAGTGATCGGGTCAAAAGTCTGGGAATAAAACAAGATATGAAAGAAACTTAAACGGACATAATGCATTATTTTAAAGATGCACTATGTCACTTATCTGGTAAGGGGGCTACTACCTGCTTGTTTGCCTGTCTGCTTGAGATATGAGAATGCAAATGTTGTTTTTGTTTAGTCTGGAATGTTCCACAGTATGGCATTAAACGTATTACGCATTGTATTTAATTACACATTTTTAATGCTCAAAAATACATTGCAAAGCTGACATTTTCACTATTAGGGGTTGTGTCTCCACAGATCTGAGCTATAGCTTTGCATAATTTCATCCCTGCTTGTCTCCATGAAGAAAGATAACTTTAATGCCATACTGTGAAAGATTTGGGGTATCATCTCCATGGAGACAAGCAGGTGGCAGATCTCCCACCAGAACAGTAACATAGTGCATCTAATAGTTTTCTTCACTGCTTTATACACCATTGATTACATTGTATTAGTCAGTTCTATCTGTAATATTATTATAATAAATAACCTACATACCACAGTCTTGGGAGCAGCAGCTTTTGTTAACTCTGAATCATTCTCAGTGACAGGCCTCTGAAAAGATAAAAGTGTCCTATATCAGAACCACAGCAACAAAAAACAAATACATGTTTCACTTCAGCTGATGATCAGACCATGTTTGCAGCGCCATCTTGTGGGGGTTCACTGACAACCTGGAGCTCATCCATGTACAGCGGGTTATTTACATTTTTCTAAGAAGAAATAAGACACAAAAAAAACAAAAAAACTTTTAGTGGACACATATTTTATTTTATATCAACGTGCATGCTATTTTATCTGTGTTTACATGTACAACAAAAATCTGACCATTATCTGAATATGAAGTTACTTTTACTATAAGGGAGGAGCTAACTTTTCAATGTAGTTAGCCCCTCCTTGCAGGTAGATATAAGGCAGTGTGGATAATCTGATTTCTTTATGATTCATTATTAAATTCATTGTACTTGTCTTGTACTGCCTTCCAAATAAAATTGTTAGTCTAAAAATTCATTGATTTACTGACATGTCACCAGATCAGACAACACACACAAAAAATCTGATCAAATTACTGAGTTAACTGATTATTCAGATTTTTGCTGGCCATGTAAATGTATCCAGTGTTAACAACTGTTATTTTCTACTAACCAGTACTAACCTTGATTGAACCATTTAGAGTTGGAGATTCTGCATATGATGTAAAAGACTCTGACTTCGCTTCATAGGCCGGATTCTCAAAGCTCTTGTCCTCTGGCAGCAGATTGGGCACAGCCACCTGTGTTAAATTTTATGTTGAAATAGATTTTTGATACATTTTGAATATATAGTAAGCACAAGGCTGTACTGTTTCTGTACAGACCGCTTCATCAGGATCCATACTTGTGGCATTAATTTCTGTCTTCAAGTTATTAGAGGATGGGTCCTTTCTGAAATCATAATTAGATAAATAATATACAGTGTTGTCTGTAACATATAGTTACATAACTAATTTACTACTTTGTGTCATTTATTTTATGTATAGCCAATAAAACCTTTTTGAAGAATTGGGTCCCCATATTTGCTATAATAATTTTGTGGCTTCAAGTCCTTTCAGCTGACAACAATGATCTTAAGGGAACCAGAAGAGTCTTACCTGAAGCGAGATAGATTGGGCATTGCAGGCATAGAGGGCATAGAGGGCAGAGAAGGCATGCTGGGAAGACTGGTGCGCAACTTTCCTATGAGGTCAGGCTTCTTGCGTGCAGTGTACACAATAGCAACAAGAATCCCAATTATTAGCACTGTGACCCCAATGGCTATTCCAACTGAAAAAGACACAGGAAATGGAAATAAAATGAAATCACAATACTATAATATTTTTGTTTCGATTGTAAATTTTGTATGAAAATCTATACCAGATGAAGCCAAAAGACCAGATTTGCTGTTCTCACAAAAATCTCCATACCACGTTGAAGGGCATCTGTGAAGCACAATGTATGTAATGCAAATTTATTGTTACTCAAAACAAGTATATGAACTATGCTGAAGTGTAAATAATGTTTATTCGCACATGCAAAGGGCCTTGTTGTCATTAAAGTAGCATGTTCCGCCATTTTGACACTGACAGGGTGGGGGCATAGTGGGAGGTGGCTCAGACCCTGAAAATAAAATTAAGATAATAACAATAGTGTTTACAAAATCCAAGCTGATTGCAATGTTATGGGACAGTTTTGATCCTGCTGATATTACCAGCGTCGCATTCGGTGGTGCTGCCTTGGACAAAGCTTGTCCCTTCAGGGCAGGCACACGTGTAGCCTCCCGGACGCAGCAGACACAGGTGGCTGCAAGTCCCTTTACATGGGTTCTTCACTGCACAGACAGAGATTGAGCTAATTTTTTTCCAATTCATAATATGATTGTCATTAGATTTGTTATTTAAATTTGTTATTAAGTTTCAGTTCAAAGTGTACATTGCAGACTTGTCCAGGAGTGTGCACTTTTGAGAGAAGAGTGCTAAACTAATGTAAAAACCTTGTGCAAATTTTAAATTAAAATTGCAATGATATGTGTGGGTCTTTTTAATTGAGAAGCCTAGCCAGTCCTGTCAGTAAAAGCGTGCGATTTGGAGTAGAGTTAGGAAAAACAAATTAGACAGTGCTTTTGTTTTAAGTGGTAATCATTTAAAGTCTTTGTTTTTAATCACATATATTTCAGCACATCTTTACTGAACTCTAAACTACAAGATTACCAGCTTTTATACATAAATACCTGTGCAGACAGGATAGAGAAATCATATAAAATCATATAAATACTACATAAAAATTACAACTTCTGCGATTTGTGAACATGTAAATGGAGTTTTGGATTTTGCGATCTTAGCTACAAACACATTGTACACACTTTTAACCTTTATTTAACCTGAACCAAATTATTTCCACAATTCCTTTTTTATCAGAATACCCCACCAGCATAGGCTCTTTATCACAAGGATTTACTTATAACTAAATTACCTTGTCTGTGTAACTTACTATTGATGGAGTTGTATCTCTGCTTCTGATACAGGGACACTTGTGTGAGCCAGGGCCCTGCAGTCAGGAGCTTGGTCTTGAGTCCGTGGCCAAACTTGTCCTGTCTGTAGACCTCGCCCTTCTCCTGTGTGCTCCAATAAATGTTGTCCTCAAACACGTTCACACTGAGAGGGTTTTGGACATCTAAAAATAACACAAATTTATAATGGTAAATGTTCATAGTATTAAAGGGGCCCTATGAAACCTTTCTGGTGGAGGATCTGTTTGCTTGTCTCCATGGAGATGTTGTTGCTTTGGCTGGAATGCTCAATAGTATGGCATTTAAATCATAGTATTTATTTCTTTACTGGTATTTTTACTGTTCAAAAATATAATTAATTTCCATGAAGATATAAGCTGAATACCATACAGTGGAACATTCCAGGTAAAGCAGCAACATGCACCTTTAAAGTCTTTTTTTGTTTTTATTGATCA